GATACATCAACAACTTCCTCAACCTTATCAGATATTTGCACCACATCCTCCTCTTTTCCAACAGAATTTATTTCCTTCATAAGCATCTCCTGGTCCACATCAATTTCAGCCTCCTCCAGTTGATTTATATCAGCATTTGGTTCCATCTCCTCATGAACAACCAATGTTCTGAACTACAGGTTTAACTACAGATCTCCCACCGTGAGTTTCCTTACTCGTATTCACCTATTTCTTTACAAACTTCAAGTTTTTCTTCAGCTGGGCAGGTCTCCTGCCATTCTTCCTATTAACCATGATCCATGGACCATATGTAGAACCATTATCTACCTCTTGATACCTTTCCACCTCCTTCTAAATCCTTATATTTCCAACATCTACTTTATGTTCCTTTGCCACAGAATTTCCCTATTTGCAATCAGTTGTCACATGTCCTACAAACCCACATTCATAACAAAATGTTGATATCTTTTCATACTAAATTCTTTGAAAAAATCTCCCCGATATGCTCTCAACCCATACTCTTAAGGGAAGATGTTGATCAAGCTTTACTCGCACACAAACTCTAGCAAATTCCCTCTTCCCCCATTGGAACATGTTTTCATCCATCATTAGAGGTTTTCCTACCATAGAAGCTATCCTTGACACATTAACCTCATCCCAACATTGCAAGGGTAAATGAGGCATTCTAATCCAAATAGGGGAAGTTAGACCCTTCATAGATAGAGTATAAAACTCGGCCGTCCACCTATCCATTCCTACAATATGGCCATTTACAAACCATAGTCCTCCTGTCAGAACACCTTCCATCATCTCAATAGAACCGAAGGAACACAAAAACCATCTTTTACTAAGAGTTGTAAAAAGGAAATTCCCAAATTGAATCCATTGATGTCTCACCTCCCATGCCACCATATGCAATGGAAATTCCTTCCCAAACACCTTGATAACTAGGGAATTCCTCAATCTATTTGAGTTGAAAATCTCTATGTCTTCCCTCAGCTTAACAACTTTGCCATCTTCCAACAACACCAAATCTTCATCTTTAAAATCCAATTTAATATATGGCTTCTTCCTCCACGGATTTCCATCTACCTTCATAACATTTCTAGTTGGCATTACAGCATCAACCTTCTCCACATTAATATTATCTTCTAAACTCGAACTACCATTGATATGAAAATTTTTGTTAAAAGGATTATGAGAATTCGCATTTATCACACTATGTCCAGGGATTGTATTTGACTTCCCAAACCTATTAAAAAAAATCTTCATCTCAGAAGATGAAGTCAAAGGATCGTTTGATTCCAGTTCCGATGTTCTCTTAACAATCCAAGGGGTAACAACTACAACTCATCAGCAATGGCCTTACCATTTATCTTCTTAGGAATCTCCCATTATTCTCCCTGATCACCAGAGAGCCTCTCGAACTCTTGTTCGTCAAATCCATTTTCTTCAGAATGGAAATAGCAACGATATGTTTTTTCTTCGGCCAAAGTTTGAATCTTAATGACTTCTCTAGCATTACCATTTGCCGCAACCGCCGATGATGGTCGACGGCCTTCCAAAACCATCTCCCATGCCAATTCCGTAAAGGATAGAAACAAAATAGGGAAGAAAAAAAATTGAAAATATGAATGCTTACTCTCTAAGACCAAGACCTTCCCTTTCTTTGGAATAATTTGGAGTCAATTTCTCATTACTTCAATTTTTTATTCTAGGAAATATACCCTAAAGTACCTTCAAAATTTTGTGTTATGTAAAAAAACTTATTTTCAAAAATTGAGTGCAATTTAACAATTTATCTAAAATCAAAATGTATTTTCTTAAATTTTTCTAATTTATATAAAATGAAATAATCAGGAAATTGAATTTCAAGCTAAACATTACCATTTAAGAATTCTTTTAGCCCTTTATAACCCTTTTAATCTCTATTAAATAACTTAAATAATATTTCATTAATTTTTTTAAATACTATTTAAATAATCTTTATAATTAAGACAATTTTTACATTCATAATGAAAAACCCAAATACTTTTTGAAACAGAACAAATTATTTAATTAGGAGTGGTCGTTGTATGTGTTTAAGTGTATATGTCAAATTTTGTATGTATATTTCATATGCATTGGATATGTGTGCATTAAGTTACACATTATTTATAATTAAAACACCCTCTTTAATAATAAACTATACAAAATTTTATTAAAATATATTTAATCTAGGTTTTTTTTTTTGTTAAAACCCACCGATGGGCTTAAGCGTTAATTATCCAAAAAAGTGTACATAGTCCTTAAGGGGAATTCTAGCTCACTATTTCTCGAACGAGCTACAAAATCATCAAAAAAGACATAAATATCTATGATCCAAATTTCCCTAGCTATTACTCAACATTACAAACCATGCTAAGAACATAATATATCGACAAAAAGACAAAACCCAAAAATTTGATCCAGATAGTCCCATTCAGCATAATCTTCAGGAGAATAGAAAACAAACCCTACAAAACAAAACATAATACTACAGAGAGAAAGGTAATACCAAATACCAGTAACTAACAATTAACAACTTGGTAATTTAAAACTAGAGGGACATGAAAAACCAAGGCTCTCAAGATTTGAAGAATCAAAATAGACAGCAACGGCAATCTATAATCCCATGACATCCATGAATCAGGTGAAGGAACAAAGCAGGAGAAGTATGTAGACATGGGATCACCGAAAGAGTCCTACATAAACCTAAGCAAAAAACACAATCATGTCAACCAAAGAGAAGATATAAAAGCCATACCATACTTAAAAAAAAATGCCACTCAATCCAGCCAAGAAGAATATTCTCATGCAGGTGTGAGGAAAACAAGCAAGACCAAGACCACATATAAGATTGGCATGCCTTATACGGATCATCCCTTTTATATGATTAGGGGCACCAAGAAAATAAAAAAAACTTATGATTAGATGCAAAATACCCATGACCAGTAAGCCAAGCAGCAATATCCAATCTCGCTGAAGAGAGAGAAGCTCCGTCTTTCTTGCTGGGAAACTGATTTTCAAATTTCCTTTTCGCGGTTGTTTCGGCCATCACCGATGGAGACGGAGGATCGCCGGACTCAGGCTCCTGGAGTCTCAGTCAACCTCCGCCTTCCTCCACCATCATCCAGAAAGATTTCGCGTCAGTTGGACTCGTTTCCTCCTGCTTTTGGAGAAAAGATGCTTGGTAAAGAAGGTTCAATCAGGCTTAACAGAGAAAGGCCTCTCATCATCAAGGAAGGAGCATTAGAAGAGAAAAAGAAGATAATTGAATGTACTGGCAAAGGTAAACAGATTGTTGTCGAAGAAGACAATTCTAAGTTCATGCTGAACCAAGTTGGTAGTTTTAGACAAGAGGTTAGCAGGCAAGCTTCTTGTAATAATGTTGCTGAAGGTAATAAAAAGATTTTACTAGAAGGTAATAATATCTTACAGAATTCTGAAGATCGGGCCATCAAAGAATTCAATTCGAATTCCTTGGATCTAGAAGAGAGAATGATGACTAATATGAGAAATGACTTACTCAAAGTAAGGGAATGTAACTCCGCACAACTTGGGAATTGCTCTGAAAAGAACGGTTAAGGCAATCTCCCTATTACTAAAAATAAGGAGCAAAATGCTTGGAGAAAGAAGGAGAACATCAAAGTTTCTGATATCAATTTCGGGGAGAATTTCGTGAATGAAAAAGGAGCTGTCAAACTGCACGTGGAAAAAGAGATTGAGAATTCGAAGAGGCTGGAGAAATCTATTGTGTTAAAAATATTTGGCAACAACATCCCTTTCAATGTCATCAGCATTGAATTGAGAAGACAATGGTCTAAATACGGAAAATTCCATCTAACCCAACTTGGTCTGGGTTGGGTCCTTTGTGCTTTTGAGAATCAAGAAACTTTGGAAGAAATAATTACAACAGGTCCTTGGTATGTTAATGGAAGCATAGTAGGCATGGACAGGTGGTCTGCGAATTTCTCCCCTAATTCTCTCAATGGGCTTACAGCTCCAATTTGGATCCGCATGCCAAACCTACCACTTTAATGTTGGGATGAAGTGAATGTATGTAGGATTGCTTCTTTGATAGGGAATCCTTATTTGATAGATGGTAACATGTTTCAGTGGTCTAGAAGAGAGTTTGCTAGAGTTTGTGTAAGAATCAAACTCGACGAGAAGCTTCCTTTGGGTGTATGGGTGGAAGGAGAGCTTGGGAATTTCTATCAGAACATAGAATATGAAAGACTGCCAACTTACTGTTTCAACTATGGTAAACTTGGGAACTTATCGAAGGAATGTTTGACAAATTCTACTTCTAATAAGGATAAACAAATCAATGGTAGCCATAACATCAGAGATTTCACTGAGAAAGAAATTCCAATCAGTACTGGGAGAATTCAAACTTCTGGTTGAAATAACAGAGAAGCTGGAGATGGATGGATCAAAGTTGATTATAGAACAAAGAAGCAGCAAAGGAAAGGAATAGGCAGCAAGGAGGAATCAATAGATATTCTCAAGATAGCAAGTAAAACAGTGGAATCGGATGGAGCAGCACTTCTCAATAACTATGTCTCAGATAAAATTGATTCAGTAATTACAAACGATCCTCCATTCATAAATCTTGAGGAAGAAGAGGGCTCAAAAAATAATAATGTTGTTGAAAAGATCTATATTGATGAGGAGAAGGTTTCAGGAGAGAAATCTGAAGGGGTTAAAGCAATATCAAAAAACAAATTTGATATTCTGGGAAGATTAGCAGAAGAAGGTGAATCATGTGAGGAAGAACAACAAACAAATGAACAGGGGATCAATAATATGCAATTTGCCGAATTATCAAGCAAAGTTTGTGATGACACTTCATCCTCAGTGAAGAAAAAAGGTACTAAGCAACTCAAGAATCTGGGATCTATCAGCCTTAAGACGAGGAACAGGAAAATTGATAACAATGTTAAGGAGAAAGGGGGAGTTCCTTCCCCTCTCATCCAAAGATGAATTCCATACTATTTTGGAATTGTAGAGGAGCTAAAAAAGTGAAAGCTTCTCTCTACCTCAAGGAGGTAGTAAAAAATCAAATTGTTTTGTTTGTTGGGCTTTTGGAGACTAAATTAGTATCCATTGATACTAAGAATGTGGAATCTTTAATTGGCATAGGATGGAATTTCAACTATAAACCGTCTAATGGGCTATCAGGAGGCATCCTTGTTTTGTGGAGAAGCAACCAAGTCAACTTCAAGTTAATTGAGTCTTCATCTCAATACATCATTGGGGACTTGGATATCCTTAATAAAGGGACATGGAGAGTTGCTACTATTTATGGCAGCACTAATGTGATCAGGAGAAGAGGTTTATGGAATGGATTGAATAAACATATCACTAAAGGTTTACCCTTGGTGATAGGTGGAGACTATAATTGTATTGTGGCTAAAGAAGATAAGATTGGAGGTAGGAAATTCTCTTTTTCATTGGGGCCAAGAGAGATGAATTATTTCATTACTTCCAATGACATCCATGAGCTCAAGTTTACTGGTCCTAAGATGACTTGGAGTAACAACAAGAAAGGTTTAGAAAGGATAATGGAAAGATTGGATCGAGTATTAGTTAATGCTAAAGTAGTTAACAGCATTCAAAAGTTGTTTGTGAAACACCTTCCAAGAATTGCATCTGATCACTGTCCAATAGTCCTGGAATTATCTGAATTTCCTTCTAATAATAGAAACTTCATCAAATTTGAAGAGGTATGGGCTTCTTACCCTGCATCTTTTGGCATAGTTAGAAAGGCATGGATGAGGAGAGACTCGGGGAACCCATCAGAAATTCTAAATTACAAATTCAAAAGAGCTCTTAAATCCTTATTCTTTTGGAATAAGGCTAAGCACAAAGATCTGAACCAGATGAAGGATTTGCTCAAGACAGAAATTCTCAATCTTCAAACCAAAGAGGCCGAATATGGAATGCTTTCAGAGGAAGAAGGTTTCCTTCTTAAATCAAAGATTAATGAGCTTAATTCTACTCTAGCACGGCTAAATTATTGGTGGAAACAACGATCCAAAATCAAATTGATTGGTGAAGGAGATCAAAATACAAAGTTCTTTCATTCTATGGCGAGTGCAAGGAGGAACAATAATCAAATTCTAAACTTAAAGGATGAGAATGGAATTATGGTGGATAATCAGAACAAAATTGAAGACATATTGGTTCAGTTTTTTAAAGAAAAATGCTATAAAAAGAAGTGCAATCTGGAAGGATGGCCGGACAACAAATCTGTGCTGAACGATGAAGATAAGGAGCAATTAAGTAAAGAATTTTGTTTTGAAGAAGTTGAAACAGCAGTCAAAGAATCATCAGGAGGTACATCTCCAGGAATTGATGGTATCTCCTACTCCTTTCTTAAAAATTATTGGGGTATTATCAAGAATGAAGTCTGGGAAGCTTTGAAGAACTTTTTTGAAAATGCTGTTATGGACAAGGATTGGAAAAAGACTTTGATTGTTTTGATTCCCAAAACTAACAATCCTATCTCTGCTAATAATTATAGGCCAATAAGTCTTTGTAAGACTGTGTATAAAATTGCCTCTAAAGTCATTCTCAATAGAATGAAATTCATTATCCCGAAACTCATTTCAGTTGAACAAGCTGCTTTCGTTAGAGGGAGGTCTATTCAAGATCATATTCTTATAGCACACGAAATCATTCACAAATTCAAATTTTCAAAAGACACTAAAGGTCTTGTTTCTATCAAATTAGATATGGAACAAGCATATGATTCAATGGGTTGGCCTACTCTTCAAAAAATTCTCTCTTACTTTGGATTTCCGGTATTCTTTTCTGATCTTATTCTAGAATGTGTGCTAAACCCGGAATTCTCTATTTTAATTAATGGTAAACCTTCTATCTGGATCAAAGCTAATTGTGGATTTAGACAAGGGTGTCCCTTGTCTCCTTACCTATTCATTTTATGTTCCCAATTCTTTCAAATGCTATTAAACGAAATGATGATTTTGGAGTTCGAATTAGCAATAACAGCCCAAGGATTTCTCACCTTTTATTTGCTGATGACATTATTTTTTTCTCTGAAGCCAAACTTAAAAATATGAGAACTATTAAAGGCATTATGAATGATTACTGTGGGTGGACAGGCCGAAAAGTAAACATTAGCAAATCAGGAATGCTATTTGGCAAAGCAATTTCTAGATCAAAGAGAAGGAAAATTAAAAATATCTTGAAGTTCAAAGAAATGAAGGAATTCAATTATTTGGGAATAAAACTGGCTTTAAAAAGGATGTCTAAATCAGATTTTCAATTCATACTGGAGAAGACATTGAAGATGTTTAATAACTGGGGTACTAGATTCATCTCTTTGGCGGGAAGAATTACACTGGTAAAACATGTAATTCTATCTATTCCTACATATCATACCACTGTTTCATTAGTTCCTAAAGCTATTCTTCAAGAAGTGGAGAAAATGTGTCGGAATTTCATCTGGGATAAATCAAATGTAAACCACGGGTTGCATTATGTTGGCTGGAAGAAGCTTTGTGAGCCAATAGAGATGGGAGGAAGAGGCATTCATTCTTGTTTGAATAAAATGGGTCCTCTTAGAGCTAAACTTACTTGGAAATACTTGAAGGAGAAAGATTCATTGTTACACAAATTTCTATTTCTCAAGTATGGTTCTTGTTGGGATAATGTAAACATATTCAAGTCAAATTCTACAGCCTGGAAAATAATCAAAAACGGTGGTATTTCATTGAGGAGCATTGTTAGATGGACGCATTTCTAATGGTCAATCTATAGATGTATTTAAAGACATCTGGATTTGGGACAAGACCTTAAACAAGTGGCCTACTTTTGTTAACATTCAAGATGAGATGGCTGTTGATCTCAAAGTTGAAAATTTTATTTCAAAAAATCAATGGAGGATGGATGAATTGCTGAAATACTTTGGCAAGGAACTGATGGAAATTAATTGCAGGATTAAAATTGAACCTGAAATGATTGAAGATCAAATGGATTTCATTTATATGGATTCTGGGAAAACCATTACTTCTATGGCTTCGGATAGTATTGCAGGTTTCTCTAATGATTTGGCTGGAGAAAGCAACATCTGGAAATGGATGAAGAAATTGAAACTTAATGCTAGAATTGACAATTTCTGGTGGAGAATTTTGAATAAAGCATTACCTACTAATGATTTCTTATGCCATAGAAAAATTAGTAGGATTTCTAAATGTCCTAGAGATTGTAATGAAGAAGAGAATATTGACCATCTCGTTTGTAAATGTAGAAAAATGACGGATGTTATTTGTCAGCTAAACAGATGGGGATTTCTCATTCCTCCTTTTGATAACAAAGAGGAATTATATTCTTGGCTCTTGGATAAAAATGTCTTTCTTCCGACTCTACTATGTAATGCAGTTTATCTAATTTGGAAAGACAGGAATGACATTGTTCATGGTAAGAAAGAAAGAAGCTCTCTTCATATAGCAGCTGAAGCTATTAGTAATACAGGAATTCTAAATTCCAAGAACTATGAAGTAAAGGAAAGGTTGGATACCAATCAGCAAAAGCTGTCTCAAAACTGTTGGTATGCTCCTCCCAACTGGGTCAAGGTTAATGTCGATGCTACTTTATTCAACTCATATAAAGGAGGTATTGGAGGAGTGGCTAGAGACCATAAAGGGAGACTCATAACAACATATGGATTTTCTCAAAATCATTGGGATATCACTTTTCTCGAGTTTCAAGCTATTACTTCAGTAAAAGAAATGATTAAGGATCGAGTGGATGGATTTCAAGGCATTATTATAGAAAGTGATAACTTCAATGTTATCAAGATGATTCAAAAATCCATCAGAAAAGGAGATCGAGGCATGGATAATCTTTATTTTGAAGATAAATTTCATTGTGTTATTTTTAATCATGTTAGTAGAGATTGTAATAAGTTAGCTGACTTATGTGCTAACTTTGGTACTTTTTCTTCTTTCTTTTGGGATGATCTAGAATTTGACAAGGTTCCTTCTTCTTTTATCAGTCTTTTAAAGAAGGAATCTCATGATTGTAATAATTTGGTTCTTTTCTCCTTTTTTATAATATTGCTTTATGTTGTTTCAAAAAAAAAAAAAAGTAAGCCAAGCAGCATGAACATTGGCCCTCCTGTTAATACAAGAAATTTTATAAACCACATTCTTGAGAGTGCCATTAAATTGCTGAGTGACAAAAAAGTTATTTAAATTCACACTCTTATTCATCTTGATAATATCACCACCACCTCATTGTCAACTTCAATCCAAACACATTGAAAATTTAAAGTCTGAAATTCTAAAAGACCTCTATAAATACCATATAAACCCACAACATTCACATCAGAAAATCGATACGAGCAAGTAAAACCAACACTTAACCTACCATCACGGTCCCTTACCAGGCTACCAATCCCACAAAGATTTCAATGAGGATAAAATGAACATTGAGTTTAACTTCCCCAGACCCAGGTTTTTGCCAAAAAACCAAGTTGGTAGGGGAGCTCATCAATGAATCATCAAATCTTAAATTAAAAAACTGACACCAAAGTTTTCAATTATAAAAATGCTTAGGAAGCAGGGCCCGAGCAAAGCATAACTGTTGGATTTTGAAAATGAAATATTTTATAATTCTAATATCATACATCTTAATGCCAACATGCTTGCTATTATTTCTTTCTTCCCAAAGCAACCAAAAAATGATTAAAGGAATGATTATCATCCAATGATCAAATCTATTAGTTTGATACATAACATATAGAAAAGGAAAAACAGTAGTAGCCTGAAGGTCAATATGAATATTTAAACCATTTTGAACCAAATTCCAAACCTTTGCAGCAATCGAGCCATGCATAAAAACATGATTGATGGTTTCAAGACTATAACAACATTGACATTTTTAAACAAAGTTTATTTAAGCTTGATAATAAAGCAAATAAATAATATATCTCAAAATATTGTTAGAGTTTTCCTAATTTATTTGATATTTTGTATAAGTTTAACCCTATATGTTCTAATCAAAAAAATTAATTAATTCTATAAAATACCCTTAATATTTGAGAGTACATTATGACTTAATTTAACATATTTAATGAATTAATCAACTAAATTTGACATGAAATTAGTTAACTTACTATTTTATTAATAAACCTCTTAATTTTTTTAAATATTTACTTTACTAAATAAGTTCAGATTTGAATTTTGTCATTGACTTTAGCATACCATTAGAGTTTGACTTCTTAAAACTTTAAATTTCAAATTTTTAAACATAAACTTTGATTTTAAATATCTCAATATATTAAAATATTTTGAATTTTGATATTTTATAATTTAAGAAATATTTAATGGCTTATAAATTTATTTTTTTAAAATTTAAAGAATCCAAAATAAAATTTTCATTTAATTCACTTATTATAAAAAAAATCTTACTTAAAATAATATTCATCCACCTATGTATACTATGGTCAAACCAACTTGACCCTTGATTAATTTTCATGCACTAGCCATTTAGAATATATTAATTATTTGTGATATGCATTTTGAACCTTGCTCTTAAATTTAGATAATAGTCTAGGCTCATTTGATCATTGCACTAAACTTTAATCTATTAATCTAACTAATTTAATTTATACTTTGTGACCTATAATTAGGTTTGATATCATGGGCAAATTCTTACACTTCACTTTCTAAATAATATTGTTGGCAAAGCTTGTTAGTGGTTAACTACTTGGGAATTACTCTAGTAATTAAAATAACCTACATAATATTTTAGGGTTGCCTACCTTATCTTTTTCAAGGTCCAAGTGACATTACTTGTGATTCCTATGAATTGACAAGTTTCAGATGTACTTTTTCGATTAATCCTACATCCTACAAAATTTGAATCAGAATATCTAATTATTTTAAAAGAAGATCTATACTTAGGATATCAAATCCCTAAGTTTTGAGTTCCCAAAAGATATCTCAATATTCTTTTAACTACTGTCAAATATAATTCCTTTGGATCAGATTAAAATATAGTATACAAAATATACTAAACATGATATCTAGTCTGCTAGCAGTCAAGTAAAGAAATGATCCAATTATTCCTCTAGATTTCTTTTGATCAACATCTTTTCCCTTAGAGTCCTTATCTAATTGCACTAAGGAACTCATTGGTGTAGTCCCTAGTTTAGCATTATCCATTTTATATTTCTTGAGGATGTCCTAATTAATGTACTTTTACTGACTAAGAAAATTCCTTCCTCATTTTAATTTATGTTAAACTAAGAAAATAACTTAAGTCTTCCATCAAACTCATTTCAAATTCACTAATCATTATTTTTTAAAAATCATCACAAAGATTTTTATCCATTGATCCAAATAAGATGTCATCAATATATATTGAACAATGAGTATATCATCTCCTATCTTTTTCAAAAAGAGAGTGGTGTCCACACTTCCTTTAACAAATGATCTCTCTAATAGGAAAGTGCTTAACCTCTCATACAAAGCCTTAGGTGCTTGTTTCAATCCAAATAATACCTTCTTCAATTTAAACACATGATTAGAAAATTTAAAATTTTTCAAAATCCAGAGGTTGCTCAACATAAACATTCTCTTATATCACCTCATTCATAAAGATACTCTTATCCATTTGATATTATTTAAAACCTTTAAAATAGGTAAAGACTAACAAAACCCTTATCGCTTTAAGTCTGGTTATAGAAGAAAAAATTTCTTCAAAATCAATCTCTTCTATTTGATTATACCCTTTAGCACCAATCTTATCTTATTTCTAATTACTACTCCTGAATAATTTAATTTATTTTTGAACACCCACTTAGTTCTAATAACACTTTGATCATTAGACCTTTCAATTAATTCCCAATATCAATTCTAACAAATTAGTTTAATTCTTCTTGCATGGCCAAAAACTAAAATTCATCCAAAATTATTTGATTTATATTAGTGGGTTCAACCATCGATATAAAGGTAGAATGGTTCACTTCTTTGCTTAGTCCATGCCAAGTTCTAACACCCTTACTAGGTTCATCTAAAATTAATTCTTTAGGTGATTCTTTGAAAATTTCCATTCTCTAAGAATAGGATTTTTTGATCCAATATTCTCTTCCAAAATTAACTTCTCAATTCTTTGGGATATATTTTTAATATATGATCTTCTTCCAACTTTGGCTCTTCTGAAATGCCAAATTCATTAAACACAACATGTGTGGTTTCCTCAAATACCATAGTTTTTTTATTAAAAACCCTATAGGATTTGCCAACACTTGAATATCCTAGAAAAATTCCTTCATTAAATTTTGGATCAAATTTTTTTAAAGGAGTTTTGTCATTATTTTGAATGAATACCTTACATCCAAAAACATGTAAATATGATAGATTTAATGTTCTAACCTTAAGAAGTTCATAGGGTGTCATTTTTAACTTTGATTTTATATTCACCCTACTTAGAACATAATAAGTTGTACTAACCGCTTTAGCCAAAAAATATTTTGGAAGTGAGTATTCTGCCAACATGGTTCTAATGGCTTCTATTTGTGTTTTGTTCTTCCTTTCTACTACCCCATTCTACTGAGGGGATCAAGATGCTAAAAAATTGTGATTAATTTCATATTTTTTACAAAAATCTTTAAATTTTTTATTTTCAAATTCTTCTCCATAATCATTTTGAATTGATAAAATATCACACCCTTATTTACTCTAAATTCAAGTAAAAAAGTTTCTAAATTCATCAAATAATTCACTCTTATGAAATAAA